CGGAAAAACTTGCAAAGTTATCCCCAGAAGATAGACAAGAATATGAGAACTCTTTAAAAATAACAAAAACACCTAGACGTTACGCTCTTAGAAGTAGACCTTACTAAATTTTGTAAAACGTTTTGAAGAAATAAATGTATTTAAAAACTGAAATATTGTGTAAATTTTTGCCGGCAAAGCCCGCTCTTTCCGCCCGCGCAAAACGCCCGCCTGATTAGTGTACAAATATGTTGTACTTTAATATATGCATGCACCCGCAAAGCCACGCGCCTGATTTTAAGGTATACACCTGCGTTAAAAATAATCCCTATCTATCCATCGGGATACACTTACTTATGCAAATTCGTATTGCCTTAATCCCCTTAATTACCTACACACCTCCTAATGACTTACCAACGCATAACAACGCAAATTTGCAAAGCTTAAAACATGTTTATTGATACAAATAACAGACGATAGTGTCAAAAAATATTACAACTGTTTTAATTCTAATTTCTACTCTTGATAAGCTTTCTTATGATCATCTTAACAGTATACATGTATGTAGGAGGATTGCTAAATAATCTTGGACAACATGTAAATATTGACCATAACAATGACGTTGACAACTCGGGATTAGGAACTGTTTAGTTTAAAATATGTCTTGATTTTTGTGACGAAAAAAATCCTCGCTATAGAACATACGAAAAATCCTTCAATATACATGTGGAAATTTATCTCTTCCGAGCAAAGATACGGCTATAACTCTGCTATATTTTAATTTCGATAACAATTTTGCCATGGGCAGGGACACAAACCAATCATAGCAAATCAAGATTAATCCGCCTATTGTATCATACACGTGGGGGAACGCTAAAAATGCGTAGTCAGCAAGTTTTAACCGATCTTGTTTAAACTCGCCCGCGTGACGTCATTGCATATAATTATGACGTATACTAACGAGTGACGTCATTACGCACCCTCACTTGTGCGCCCCCCTTAATTAACTGCATATATAATGATGCGGCCCCCTTGCACAGTAATTACTTGCATATATAATGATGCGGCCCCCTTGCGGCCCCCTGCGGCCCCCTGCGCCCCCCTGAAAATAAGGCCCGAACGTCCTCTGTATTACTGCTGACATAGCTGAATTCTGCCCTTCCGTTACAGAGGATCTCTTAGATAAATCATTTTCGTGGGCTCGAAATTATGTAACCATACCTGATCAACATGTATCAATCATTAAACAAGAAAGAGGCTCCCTCCTTTTCAATTATGGTAATATCAGGAAAAAGCGGCAACGCAACACCACATTTGACGTCACAATGGGAAGTTACGACGGCGCAGAGGTGTAAATTACGGGAAAAATTACGTTTGTTTTTATCGTGATGATAGACTTATTTCATTGAAAGGTACTGTAAAATACGTTTAATATCCGTATATATATATATATATATATATATATATATATATATATATATATATATATATATATATATATATATATATATATATATATATATATATATATGTAAAAGTGACAAAGTAGGTCATATCTCGAATACGCATGCGTACTACATGTCGTAGTTTCAAAGCAGCGTAAAGAAACACCGCGGAAAAACGTCTGCCCATGCGTCAACCTTACCTGTAATAGTATTGCGAACTTGATGAGAAGCTGTTCCGAACGTTTCCGAAGGCTCAAAATGGCGGTAAAAAGGAGTGACTTCATTGTGCGTCTTTACAGTCAGATTTCGAGCGCAAAAATAAACATGTCATTCTAAAAACTAGGAATAAATACAGCCAGAATGTTCAATAAATTGTATTGTACAAGAACATGAACTAAAGGTGATTGTTGACAAATTTATCGTCTGAAACATTTTGTTTATCAACTAAGCAACGACCATTACCGAATTTTCGTTTGAGATACATTTCTTTAAAAAAAACTGTGTCGCCAAATATAAAAAATTTGCGTGTTCCCAATAATTAAACTTTAGGATTTATTCTACAATTTGAGTGGGTTAAGAAGCTTAACTTTTCGAGAGTTTTCTTAACTTTTTAGTTTGAATTTTTGTTTTGAATAATTTTGCAAATATTTTCGAAGTCGTGTCCGTTAAAATCAACAATTTTTTACATGAATTATATTTCATTCCATACTTTAAATGCCAGGACGCTTTCAATTAATGTCTAGTCCACCCATTTGCTATATTTTCTCGTTTGTTTTACTAATTTTTGACCAATTAATAAGCATGTTTTTGTTTTAGAAATTGATATTCAAATTCCCCGCCATATTTTCATAATTTGGTGCATGCGCAGACGTTTTCCGCGGTGTTGTTCGTACCACAATCATAAGACAATCAAACAGCATTCAAAACAGGCAACACACCACGCGCGATTCCCTCGGCAACTATGATATTACAAAGTAATAGCATGGCATTACGGTCGATTAGTGATGAAATGTCCCTCAAGAGGTTTAGTAAAAGTCATAAAAATTAGAAAATAAAAATATAAAGAAATAAAAATTAGAAAATTTAAAAGAAATACTGTATTTCTTTTAAATTTTCTAATTTTTATTTCTTTGAGTTTCGTCCCATGAGTACAAGACCTTGTGTTCTTAGCCAACCATTAATTCAAAGCAATTAGAGCTGTTAAATTACTACAATACGTTATAGCTCATTTGAATTTGAAAGGGTGTACATTTTTTTTGATACACCCTGTACAGGGTGTCCGAAAAAAGTCCCCCCTAAAGAAACCACTCTATTGTTGTTATACCTCTGCAGGGTTCGTAGTCTCCAAGAGCAAAAAAATTCAAAGACTCTCAAAGATTTTTTCTGCCTATTTTCAAAGACTTTTCAAAGACCTTTCAGAGCAATCAGCTGTCGAGAGCAATCAGTTGTCGAAAAATTGCGAGTGTAAGCGCCATTTTTACCCGGTAATTAGTCCCGTCAAATCACATCCTAAAATGCGCCTTTTCGTCGATATTGCGAAAACCTTGCTCTTCAATCAACCTATTTTATTAGCTAGGAAATCGTATAATCAAACACTTACTAAATAATCTAAAGACTTTTAAAGACTTTCTTCGCGTTTTCACACAATTCAAAGACTTTTCAAAGACCTTAAAGACCTGCATTCAAATTTGAAGACTTTCAAGGATTTCAAAGACCGCTACGAACCCTGCTCTGGGAATTTAAAATAGCTTCTAAAACAAACAGCAACACAAAAGTGCCAAATTACAAATTCGTCTTACCGTCAGTTCGAGTAAGAATGGTGCAACGAGTATTTGTCGTAACAACATATACGTTAACGCAAAGTGTAACCGAAGTGTTAAATTATTTGAACGAAGGGAAGTTGTAAATACTTCCGCCATTCATGTACAATTTCATTAAATTCCCACAGGCATATAATAACGCACAAGATCAGAGTGATTTCTAAAGGGAAACTTTTCTTCAGACATCCTGTAGATTTTTCAGATCTTGCTTGATTCTTGAAATATTTTGACTGAAAGCAATGAGCTGTCCGCTGTCTTGGATTATTGAGGACATACACATACGTCACAAGTGGGGTCAAGCTAGTTTTTATCGTGACAGCCAGTGATCAATTTGAGCCCGAAACTCGAGTTTTGGTTGCCATTTCGAATTTCGAATTGAATAAAAACATTTTAAACTACTTTTGACTGTTACTCACTCCCACTCCTGACGTCATCAAAACGACAGTTAATGAGGTTAAGAATTAATCCAAGACGGTGGACAGTTCATTGCTTCCAATCAAAATATTTCAAGAGTTAAGCTTGTTACGAAAAATCTGTAAAAATATTTTATAGATATAATTTTAAACTTTCTTTCAAATGAGACAATAAAATTTTTTGTTGCCAACGTCCTTTAAACCAACATAATCTTGAACATTCTGTACATGTGCCAGTGTAGGTAGTACCAGTAATATAAACAAGCTTTCGTTGGTGGGGATGCAACTGCCTGAATATATAAGGAGAATTTCGACGTTTCTAGCGAAGGCCCTGTAGTAACTCCAGACGAAGGGCCTTCGCTCGAAATGTTGAAATTCTCCTTAATATATTTTTCAGGTAGTTGCATCCATATCGACGAAATTGTGTTTCCTTTAAACCAAGTATTTTCAAGAAATAATAATTTTAGATTTGGGAGGGAGAAATGGATGGACTAAAAAGTGTATTGCAAGTGTGAGGTTAGATATGGCTTGAATGGCACAGCTGAACAAGTTTTTTCATTAAACAATTGAACAACTTAAACAATGTATATAAAGTAGCTTATGGCATTCTATAGGGTTCGTTTTCCGTTCTAGCATAGTTAAACCAGTGGATTAAGAACCACCAGGTGAAAATGAAACTGGATTTAAAAAACCTTTTCTAGCTGTTCAAAAACATGTTCATATTCAGAAAACATGTTCATGTTGAAAGGGCAGGAAAAGGCAGACAGAAACGTATTGCAAATGGTCACAGAAGAAAATATTTTATCCAGGACTGTGTATGAATACTAAGTAAATTCGCCAATTGATCATAATATAAATTTGGTGATCATAATATAAATTTGGTATGAAAACCATACGCTGGCGGCTATAGTTGGGCGGAATTTGTGGAATGGGGAATTCTTCCATTTTTTGTTCGGAAAATGGGATTTTTATTTACGGCTCAATGGAATGGGAAATTGTTTTCAAAACATGATGTGTAATACGGAATTTTCAGTTTTAATTCCATACACATGCAATTAATTTTCAACGTCAATTTTTACGTGATTTTGCGGACTTGCTCTTGGGAAAGTTTTAATCTCCAACATTTTGCCTCATCCACCGAGGCTAGGATCAAATCTAGGAAGCTGCAAATCATGAGAGGGGGATTCGACTACCCGAAAAATATAAGCAAAATTTCGGCGTTCCGACCGAAGGTGATTCGTGGGGAAGTTATTATCTACCTCAGTCGAATATAATAAGCATGCAGGTCAAAATAATATACGTCATAAGTGGGAATAGAAACACGTGGTTATGTTGTATAGTTTCTTACCCTGTGCTGCCCTCCTTTGATCAGCTAATACAAATAAATGTTGAAGCTCTTGTTTCTGTTCTTCATTGAGATTATTTGTCAACTGATTGTACCATGCCGGATCTTGAGCTTGAATATCTTGAAAATCAATAAAGACCAATGATCAGATATATCGATACTCTTATAGTCATCCCCTCCGCCAGAAGTGATGTTTTCATGTTTGTCTGCCCGTTCGTAACATTTTGGTATATATTTGGTTCAGCATGGTTGACTTTTTCTTGGTATAATTGTACTTCAGGATTCGTAGCGTATATAGACGCTCTGTGCTCTGATATTATTTCTTGGCTCATTCGTAAAATTTTGGTATATATTTTATTCAGTTTGCAGTCAATACATGCTTGACTCAAAGTTGAAAACTGGATTTACTCCAAGTCTGTATGTCAAAGTTGTTTTTATTTGGAAGTTAGGATGAAGGATGTGGGCAGGAGGTGATAATATTGGGGAAAAAAGCAATGAGGTGGCTCACGTCTCCCTAGTTTTCCAAGTTCCGCCCAGAGCCCGCATATATGTTCTCTCCAGCAATTTTTGTACGTCCTTATAACATCCAAATAAAAACTTAAAGGCAGAATGCACTGCCCCACATGACCGCAAATACCGCTGTTGATTGGTTTGATATATGAGAAACGGCTCAGGTTTCACACATACGCAAATATATTATTCTAATATGGCAGAAAACGAAGAGTTTGGCTCAGTTTTCCAAAGCAAGGGAAGCAAATTCGCTATTGGATCCATCTCTTGAAGAGGAAATCGGTAAGTGAGTTTGTTCGGTATTTATCCAAATATACATTGTATTCGCGCTGTGATCAAATGGTTTAAGCAGCCAATGTGTTGTTTTTCGCTTCACTTTTCACTTAGCTTCCTCGTTTCAGTCAAATTTTAATACGAAACTGTACAGCTCTGTTTCAAATCAACCCAACAAACGTCTTTTTGAGGCTGGTAAAGATTCTTTCAGATAAAGTTCTTCAGATTGGTTTCATTAGAGCGGGTGGAAATTCCTCGACTGCACATTTCGATCCTCATTATACTACCAAAGAAAACGTCATCGCAATCTCTGTTGCGTCCACAATTTACTTACTCAACAAGCATTGTTGAAACACCGTATACTCGTCAACAGCGTCTTCATTGTCTATTGTGGTCGTGTAGGCTTCAAGCTCTGTTTCCTCATCCTCATCAGCATCTTCTGCGTGCAATGCATTAGTCACCTACAAAAGATTGGGTGTAACTTAGCAACCGATTAAAGCGCAACTAAGATTACGATTGGCATTTCTATGTAGCGCAAATTTACATGTGGATATGATCAACTGCGCTTTACATCAAGTATTATACGCTTACCTAATTATATACGTATAGCCTAGATTATTTTATTTTTACAGTATAATTGTGATATTACTTTTTTAAATGTGTTACGCATCCTAACGCACCCTGTCAACTTTAACCCACCCTGTCAACTTTAACACCGTGTAAGCCCACTGATATGTGTAGTTTTGAGCCTTTCTGAAGGCCATGTTACACGAGGCAAGTTTGCCGCAACTTGCGACGCAATTTCTGATATAGAAATGTAGTAGCAGGGAAATATCAGCCTGGCAACTAGACTCTGTACAACTGGACTCTGTAGCTCAGTTGGTTAAGCCCGTTCTCCACTACGCGAATTTGTTCGCGCGACGCGAAGCGAAAACCGAAATCCGGCAACGTGATTGGTCGGCGAAAAAATTCGCGGCGAAAAAGTAGGATCGCTTCCTACTTTTTATCTGTTCGCGCGAATAAATTCGCCTAGTGGAGAACGGGCTTTAGAGTGCAGCACCGGAAACGCAGGACCGCAGACAAAAAAGCAAAATTAGAATCACTTCAGATATTATTTCGTCGAATCCCCCGAGTGAAGGCTCTATAAACGATAAAAGTTACCAAAGTCAGTTATTAATTTCGTTACCCGTTTTGCAAGATTTTCAACATAAACGACTTCATCTTCGTTTAATTCATCATCATCGCTTTCTAATTCTCCTGTACACCAATGAACAAAAAAACATTATAAACAATGAAGATAAATAACATTAGCATATACTCGGGAGGTGAATACTGCTTTTCACGCAATCTGATTGGTTGCTCAGCTCCGGATATCCTTGGATACCCTTGGCTGGGACCCGGGCTGGAACTTTCGGGAAACAGTACACTCGCCCTGGTTAAAGTTCTCTTTTAACCTATAGAAATGACTCTATTTGGTTTAACTTGATATTCCTGATTAAATTTCCTGGTTATTTTCGGGCGTCGCGTTTCCACACAATTTCTCGTTTTCCCAATTTCCACTCGTGTTGATATTTGACAATTATTCGTCTCGGGCTCGGTGATTATCGGGAAATATTCACCGAAACAAAGTCGAGGTGAATATTCCTCGATAATCTCCGAGCCATGAGGCGAATAATTGTTTTAGTATTTTTTACACAAGTCTTTTGTGTTTTTTGGTACTGAATTTATTTTAATTTCTCTTATTTCTTTATCAATAATTTATCCGGAAAATGGCTAGCCACTATTTTGCAAATTTCGGTTTTGTTATATTCACCTGTAGGTGACTATAAGATCTTAATACGTCAAATTTGACCAATCAGGATGTAGGATGTGTTATATTCACCGTTATGCAAAAATACTAAATCTGTATATCAACACGGAAAATGTTTTATATTTGTTAATTACAATATTCAAACTTTTAACATGGCGTTTTAACATTGTTTAATATGGCGAAAATGTTTAGATAACAATGCATTTCTGCAGTTCTGGTTGCGTGCTATGGGCGACGTCACTCACTGCATACTATTATCAGTATTAAGTTATATTTATTCCTGAGGTTGGCAAACAAAGCACTGTTCGCCACTGTGGATTATTGAGGATATACATGTTACGTCAAGAGAGGGGTCACGCTAATTTTTTATCTGGAGAGTAAGCGATCAATATGGGACCAAAACGTCGTTTCTGGTTGCTGTCTGAAAGTTAGAAAATGATTAAAAACATTTCAAACAATTTTGGATTGTTACTCGGTCAGTTTAGAGTAGTTTTATATAGTTAACCCAACTCCTGACATCACAGCTTGAAAGAGGATCACAAAATTAGTAATATTCCGAAGTTTCGTTGCGAAATGTTGTAAAATGCGGATAATATAGCCTTGCGAAGTTTGCCGTTTTTCAGTCATTTTGTATTACAAACGGGAAATTGATAATCAGATGATCAAACTGATTATCAATTTCCCATTTGTAATACAAAATGACTGAAAAACGGCAAACGTCGCAAGGCTATATTATCCGCATGTTACCACATTTCGCAACGAAACTTCGGAATATTACTAATTTTGCGATGCTCTTTCAAGCTGTGATGACATTTTTGTCCAGACTTGTCTAGATCAAAATTTCACTCAAAAGGGGAAAGGTCTATAGTCCCAACAGCCTGTTTAGAAACATGAAGATAGTGTTCCACAATTCATGTCCGGGTCAATAGAAGTTTTATTTCCAAAGTTTTGAAATAAACAGAAGTACAAATGTACACAAACCAAAACAGCGGGTTAAATTTTAATCTAGGGTGCGAATAACTATACCCGACGGGCATAAACATGCAGCGATATACATGCAGTAACTTTGTTTGATGCCTACCTTCGTCAACATCTTCGTCACCATCAATCTCACCACCATCTTCGTCGCTGTCTTCTTCTAATAAAGCTTGCCCTGGTTAGGTAAAAGAAACATATTCCAGCAATAAAAGACAATCCAAGAATAGGCTTTTAGTCAGGCAGATGGGAAAAACTCACACGACCAGGAGGTTAAGGCTGGTAAGTACAGTAATCGGTGGCGTTCAAATTTCTTGTGGGCTGCTTCAAACACGTTTTTCTTCTATTTTCTTCGTGTTAAACTTGCCAATATGTTTTTCTTCAATTTTCCTATTCAATTTCCATAAACTAGTATATTAATTTTTTTCTGTGTTGGTGTAGTGTACTCAGGTGAATATGATATTTGTGGTGTTACTCTGAGTGTATATCCACACCGGGCGAGCTTGAAAAATATGCCCGGCCACGGTGGGATTCGAACCTACGACCTTTGGAATACTAGCCCAATGCTCTTCCAACTGAGCTACGCGGTCAGGACGGTTCGAGTAAGTGATATTTCGGAACAGAATCTAGTTCCTTCGATACCAATGTATTCTAGTGATATGAATTTTTTTCTGTGTTGGTGTAGTGTACTCAGGTGAATATGATATTTGTGGTGTTACTCTGAGTGTATATCCACACCGGGCGAGCTTGAAAAATATGCCCGGCCACGGTGGGATTCGAACCTACGACCTTTGGAATACTAGCCCAGTGCTCTTCCAACTGAGCTACGCGGTCAGGACGGTCCCGTGGCCGGGCATATTTTTCAAGCTCGCCCGGTGTGGATATACACTCAGAGTAACACCACAAATATTTTTTTTTTTTTTTTTAATATCATATTTTTTTATAATCTTTTTTTAATATCATATTCACCTGAGTACACTACACCAACACAGAAAAAAATTCATATTACTAGAATACATTGGTATCGAAGGAACTAGATTCTGTTCCGAAATATCACTTGCTCGAACCGTCCTGACCGCGTAGCTCAGTTGGAAGAGCATTGGGCTAGTATTCCAAAGGTCGTAGGTTCGAATCCCACCGTGGCCGGGCATATTTTTCAAGCTCGCCCGGTGTGGATATACACTCAGAGTAACACCACAAATATAACTAGTATATTGTTAGAAACGTGAAATTTCAGGTTCACTTATACAACAAAACACATATAAGGCCTGTTTTACACGTCGAATTTTGGTCGCGTCGAATGCAATTGAGACAATAGATAATGAGATGATACACCTCATTAAGCTTCATTATCTATTGTTTGCATTGCATTCGACGTGACCGAAATTCGACGTATATAAACAGGCGTTACAGGCCTAAGACATTTAAATGGTTAACTTGATTTCTCAAGCGGTGTTGGAGTTATTGCTGTTCCAAAATGTGAAAATAGGCCAAAACCTCGCAAACATCCTGGGTATACTAGTCTGAAAACACGTTTTCAAAAGTTCATAACTCATGCAAGAAGAACTTGAAAAATGAAGGTATTGTAACCGTTGAAATGTCTTACGTGTCGGGTTTTTTTGTAAGCTTGCTAACGCTGCAACTTTTTTTCTATAAATGAACCTGAAATTTTACGCTTTTAACAATATAGGAGTTTAATAGGAAAATCGAAGAAAAACGTGTTGGCAGTAGCCCACAAGCCATTTGAACGCTAACGACATATAGAAATGCACTTACCAGGCCTTAAAGGCACAAGATGAAGGCAAAATGGAATTGCCCCCGATATGGCGAGTTCCCATTCATTTTTATCCTCTATCTGCTCATCTCTATCCTCTATCTTATACCTGCATTTTAAGTACAATTACCCTTTCTCACGCCGCCATTACTGGGGTACTTTTTTGTCAATCCTGCGAGGGTAACACCACGTAACGGCGACATTTTAGGATTTTGTGGGTAGGTAAATTTACTCTGTACATAGTTTGTTCTGAAATATTGCTTTTAATATTGTTATAATCGTTTACGAAAAATTACAGTACCCCAAAAATGGCACCCTTGGACCGTGTCCGCATGTATGCTATTTGCCAATTTACTTTTTATTTCTAATATGGTTGTATTGAACTTACTTTCGTACGACCTTTGTAGTCCAGAAAAGATCATTAACAAAGAAGGTATGATCTTCGATGCACAATCATGTAACCCCTTCGGTCTCAAAGTACTGTTTATACCAAGGATAGAGCATAAACCAAGGACAAACATTTTCCTATCATGTAAACTGGAAAAGAAGGAATGAAAATTACAGGTTCGAGTGCTGTCACAGGGCCATAGTTGCAATTTTCGAAACTGGTCATTTGGTTAGGTCCATAAAGGCCCATCTACACGACACGACTAGTCGCATGCGATTCTTATCCTGGCGTATGTATTCGAATAAATGCGTGTAAAGATGTCACATTTCAAATTTCGCCATAAACTGATGAACAGGAATAGTGGCGTCAGCAATCGTTTTCATACGCCAGGATAAGATTCGACTAGTCGTATCGTGTAGATGCGCCTTAAAGATGCATATATAATTTCCATAGCTAAAAATTGCTCTGTTTTAAATTTTTAATATATTAGTATCTTATAAAATCCTGCGTTTTTCAAATAATGTTGTAAACAACTTAATTCTCGACTTAATTTATATTAATCAATGCTCTTGTTTTTAGCCATATAATAAATAACTTATTGATATTGTAAACTAAAAAAGAACTCGACTCAGGGCCTCTGAGAGGGGGGGGGGGGCGGGGTTCAAAGGCGACAATTTTCCCCGGGGCTTCTGCAGTTAAAGGGGCCCAAAATTTGCAAATGGGGTGCCACAAAAGATGTAATTTAAAAACATTTATTTGGAACGTTTTTGATATAAGTAATGGGATGAGAAAAAATTCTTAGACTTTAATTTTACTGGTACTGGTCCCAAAAAGTGTTTTACCCGTGTTTTTACAGGTATTTACCCCCCCCCCCTCCCATTTCTCTGGAAGGCCCTGACTCGACTAATCTTCTCGCAGTCAATAACATATATGTACAAAAATGTAAACTTAATTGGCATGATACAATACATACCCTAAAAAGCAATTAGCGTCACCCATCCACTGTGCAAAGAACTGGACAGTTATTGGTTCGTTAGATTCTGGCAGGTGCAGCTTGTCCAAAATTGTTGTAAGAAATGTTGGATTATAGTAAAGTGTAGCCACGACCTAAAATTTCATATCATTTGGAGTTTAATAACGTTTTAAGGCCTGTTTCAAACGTTGCGCTTCTCATGTGCCGAACGCATTAGAAACAATAGATAATGAGGCATTTCAGCTGATTATCTATTGTTTTTAATGCATTCGACACACGAGAAGCGCGACGTTTGAAACAGGCCTAAGAGAGATTTCTTATTTTTTTGACGAAATATCCTTAGCCCTCGCGTGCAGGCCCAAGGGAACTGATAGTGGGCCTGCAAGCAAGGCCCGGTATTTTGTACTTTCCGCGTTCGCCCACGAACGCGGCATTCTGATTGGCTGTTTCCTGTTGGATTCTATAATTAGGTCACTGATTCATCACAAAAGCTCTCGATAAATCTCGATCAGCTTAAAATTCGAAAATTGATCACTTTTTTCGATTACAAATGGAACAAGAACAGACTGTTTATTGTTTACTTGAAGGAAGAGATGTTTTTGCCGTTATGCCAATGGGTATTGCTTGTCATGAGGTGTTGGAATAGCAACATTATGACTGGGGTAAACACTTGAGTTTCATTAATTTCAAACAGGCTTGATACGTTATATGTTCCTCAAGAAAATGATCTTTTGGTTGATGTTGAGATGCAGTTGCATGTAAGCCTATTCGAAACACTTTGCGATTTACAAGGCTTCGCTTAGAGAGTGAAACAGAAGACGGTATTAAATTGCCGTTTGAAACGAAACGATCTGGACTCTGAACGCTCTCTTCTTTTGTAGAGTTCTTTACCAGATGAAATAACTGAAATAAATTTCGTACTTTCCGCCGCCAACAACAACTGCACACACGATCTGATCATTTCTGGTCACTTCCTTTCTATTTATGATTGGTTAGTTGCACAAACAACAAAGGTGATTGGTGCATTCAAACTATTCAACAGGAAGTTTACAATTATACTAGGAAGTGTATGAATATTTCGAGGAATTTGATGAAATGAATTGGTCAGCCCGAGGTAATGTATTGAATCAATATTTGAGGAACACTTCAATTGGAACGACAGTAATATTTGGGTGCTGTCATTGGTTCTTTTTTGACAATTGACGCGCGAATGGGGCGTGTTATGAAAAGGGGCGTTTTACAAAATACCGGGCCTTGCTTGCAGGCCCACTATCAGTTCCCTTGGGCCTGCACGCGGGCTAAAATATCCTTTACACCCGTTTTCAAAATTAAGCGACCAGGCCGAAAATAGCTAGATGTCTTTTTTATGTCACAGTCACGAAGTTCAAATTGTTTACAACGTCGAGTTCTGCGGTTCATTATCGATGTATATGCTTTGTATGCTTTATATAAAAAGGTTGAGAAGAATTTTCAAGATATTTTAGTGATAATTATTTCAAAATTTAAGCACAACAAAATTATAATATTACCGCTATATAGTCCAGCGCAAGCGGGTTTGATACACAGTGAATTCGATGTTATATGTGCTTTTTCAAACGTTAAAAGTCATTCACGACACAAATTTCTGTCGTTTCTTTTAGTTTAAATATGTCTAGCTCATTTTAATTCATTAATCTTCTTTACAAAGCAAAAAACGCCCAGCCTGTAACAATGTTGTTGTAAACAGTCCTGAGCAATATTTTGCTGCCCATACTGTTCCTGGTTGTTAGCAATATTGTTTAGCATTAATGGTGGTCAGCGGTGAAGAGTATCGCTGGTCGTCAGTCTTCAGTCATTATAATGTTCGAAGGTAAATCTTACTCAGACGCGGACCTTGCAAATCTCCTCAATGATAAGTTTTGATCTTCCCGTTAGTGACGACGTTCCCGCTGAATTCCACATTTCTGTCGAGGGCACCGAAAAGGCGCTACTGTCTTCTAAACTTCATTCCTCTACTGGTCCAGACGAAATTCCCGCTTGGCTTCTCCACGAAAATGCCTGTGTTCTGTGCCGACCTTTGAGCTCTATTTTTAACGCATCAGTTCGTGAAGAATTTGTTCCTTCATTGTGGAAGTCAGCAAATATTACACCAATTCAGAAATGTTCGCCTGCAATGGATGTTGATTCTGACTTTAGACCGATCTCTCTCACACCGATCATTAGTAGGATCCTCGAATCATTTCCCTACAAATGTCTTCTTAACTCCGTTTCTGATAAATTGACCCCTTGCAATTTGGTTCGTTAAAGGGTTCAAGCACTAATATCGCACTTGTTCATCTGCTACACAAGTGGTATGAAGCAGTAGACAAACCATCTGCTTACTCGACTTTCCCAAAGCCTTCGACCGATTAGATCATAATATTCTGTTGAACACATTGAAAGACATGGAGCTAGGTTCATCCTGTATTGCTCAACTGGATTGCGAATTTCCTAACAGAGAACCCGTGTTGATCACTTCTTTCCGAGCAGAAGTATATAAACGCCGGGGTCCCATAGGAACTAAGCTTGGCCCGCTCTTACTTCTGATCAAGATTAATGACCTCGCAGGGTTTGACGAAACCTAACGTTAAATTTGTGGACGATACCACTCTTCGGGAAATAACAACAAAGGATTCCTCCTCCCATTCACCAGCTACTGTTTTAGATGCTCAGAATGGTCACTATAGTCAACAACATTGAATTAAATGTATCAAAGAATTGCCTTGGGTCTGCATCTTAAACCTCACCTCATCTTTGAAGATGTCGACGTAGTTTCTGAAGTACAATTGTTGGGCGTTGTGATTTCAGACGATCTCAAATGGAATCGCCACATTGATTGCATTAGTAAGAAAGCTGCGAAACGTTTGTATGGTTTGCGCCTCCTTAAGAGAAATGCTTTACTTGCTGACGTCTTGATCTCAGTAAACTGTATACGCATACCCAATCTATTCTTAGCCTGCGTGTCAGGCTCTATGCTTGAAATTCAAGCATTGAGCCAGACACGCAGGCTAATCTATCGTTGAATATGCTTGTCAGGTGTGGCGTTACAGCCTTCCCTAGTACGTCAACGATCAGGTGGAGAAAATCCAAAAGAGAGCACTCAAAATTATCCTTCCAGGTGTTAACTATGCCGAATGTTTGTAGAATGCAAAATTGACGACTCTTTACGAACGTAGAACTGTACTTTGCGATCGTTTTTTTAATTTTTGAAATATGATGTTACCCACTCATAAAATGAATGCCTTACAGTCAAACCGGATGTTCTCTTGCGAGCAACATTGCAATATTGTCCCACAATATTGCAATTTTAATAGGCAGATTGCTCTGAGCAATTTGCAACCGACGCGAACAAATTGCAAGTTGAAATTCACAAAAGATTTGTAAACAAAGTCTCTGATTGGATTATAAGAAAAAGGGAAGCCAATCAAATAGTGTGAGCAACTGGATTGGTGCTTCCCCCTTTCTTATAGTCCAATCAGAGGCTTTGTTTACAAATGTAAACAAATGTAAACAAATCCTTTGATTGGACTATAAGAAAGGGGGAAGCACCAATCCAGTTGCTCACACTATTTGATTGGCTTCCTTTTTTCTTATAATCCAATCAGAGGTTTTGTTTACAAATCTTTTGTGAATTTCCAACTTGCAATTTGTTCGCATCGGTTGCAATTTGCTTAGAGCAATCTGCCTTTCAAAATTGCAATATTGTGGAACAATATTGCAATGTTGCTCGCAAGGGAACATCTGGTTTGACTGTAATCCTCCCAAAAAATCTCCAAACATACGACTTGAGGACTTATCTCAACTTGCCAGTGCCCAGGTGTAGAACTGAAGTTTTTCAAAACGTTTCGTCCCTGCAGCTGCTCGTGTTCATAATAACAATTAAACTCTTATAGTTGTTATAGTACTTTTTATCTTATTACATAATATTATTACTTGTAAATATAGCATATAGTCATATACCAAAAATTTTATTCTCATACTATGTAATTTCAAAACTGACATTTGAAGATTACTTTTCGGGTAGGTCGCGTAATTTTGAAAACGGGTGTAATAGCCTAATAGCATCGAGATTATAAAAGAATAGAGCGAGTATTGCAGAAAAGTTCAGGCAAACGAAAAGAACAAATTGAAGCAAGGAAGCTTGCTAATGGGGCAAATTTGAGTTATACTCGGATGTAAAACCACGAAAATCTATTTTTTCACCCTTTGACTACAATTCAAGTATTCAATCCTGGTTTTGTCAACAGGCCTGACTGTTTTACATTTATTTAGGGCGAAAAATGAGCGCTTTGTTCTATATCGTGGAAAATGATAAAAATTTGGACGTACCGAAGTTACAAAGAAAACACTGCTCTTCAACATCATAAAAAGCACTTAAAACATTTCTATACCGTTCCAAAACTTGTTTTGTTTTGTAAGTCCACGCAGGTATTCTTGTTGATTTTGAGCTTCTAGTCCTTACTTGAACTATGTTAAAACTGAGAAAATTCATGTTTTCAAAGTTGTATTATTTTCGTAATCTCCCCGCTCCTCCTAAAACATCGCGGCTTTGCATCCGGGAATGAGCATTTAGATACGGGCAACGAGGTTTTAGCCAATCAGAGAGTGCTATTTGTCCCCATTAGGAAGCTTCAATTTCTCCCTCGATCATTCCACTCTATTCTTTTATAATCTCTATACGGGTAATATGGGTTCAAATGCCCTATATTAACCGTGGACATGCAGATACAAATTTCAAAACACTCACCACTTGCAAACACATTACTCTTAATTCACTGGTTACTACTTTTCTTGTTAATCGTGCCAAAGCCACTTGAGCAAACGGCGTAATCCACTAAAACAAGTTAAAAGTTTAAGAGGATACGTTTCTCAAGCGACAAACAAACTTTAAAAATATGTTTAGTGCTTTATCTGTACAATTATGCTAAAAATGAAGAGATTTTAGATGGTACGCCAAAGAGAAAATGATATCTGAAGTTCAGTAAGTTTTGCTTATATTGCTATGATGTCAATTTTATAGCATCAATGATAATTGTATTTAAATTGACAATATTTAACTATTATTTTGTGTTTCTCAACCGCCAGATGGATTTAGAAAGGTTGCTAACTGTGTAAACTACAAAATAAAGTTAACACCAATTAATTTTGAAAGGAAATTCATCGCAAATATGCGACATTGAAAGAAATTGCCTCTTAATCGAATAGAAAAGAAGACTCGTGTAGTTAATTTCCAACGTTTATACTGTATATAGTATTATACGAGTCTCACGAACATTATTGATTGTAATCATACCGAGGGCAAAATTACTCGAATATGATTAGCTAATGATGAGAGCATTTTTCTTACTTGTACCTATAAATGGCTGAGACGCAAGCGCAGGAAGTTCCTTGTTTTATTATAAATAGCAATACACACAATGGCTCTCGCTTTGTCGTTGCGGATACTGATGTTATTGAAGAATTAAAAACTTCTAGTGAAAACTCCAACACTACAAAAAGTACAAATTTATGGGTTGGAGTTATTAAGAAATGGGCAGCATTAAGGAACATCGACGAAGACATGGAGACATACGAGTTTCAAGAACTTGACAAGTTCACAATTTACTTAGGAATACATTTTGCCCTCTATATGATTAACAAGTAATCGCATAGTTCCTCGTAAACTCGGCCCCATGCGATTACCTATACAAATGCTGTTTTCATTACCTGATCGATGCGGCCAGGAAATTGCAATATCGCAACTTCAAAAAGCTTAGCAGCATAGCACTCTGCATCTTCTCCACTATCATCATCTGACAGTATCTAAAAATGTTTTAACAAGTCCTCCTTTACGGTGCCCCCAATACCAATTTTTTATTGTCCCATTGGAAAGAACATTTAGAACTCAGGATTTTGTGAGCACCTCACTCGATTCAACATGTTGATGGATTTTATAGATCGAAATCTCGAGTGTGAATTTTATACATTTATTTAGAACTACCGAGGAGCAGCTGCGAATAATGAACTATAGGCCCTCTGGCAGGACCCAAAGCTGCGGTGCAGCGCTCTAACCAACTGAGCTGCATGAGAATTCACTTGTCGAGCTCAACCGTAAGTTCATGGGAAGAGATTATTTCACTTGCCTCAGAGTGACAAAACGTAACAAAGCAACTTATGGGTTTATTTACACTAACCCTACTCCAAACACCAAACTCTAACCATAACCCTAATCCTTACCCTAACCTAACCCTACTCCAAATTTGTTTCTAAACCAATCTTGAAGAACAAAATTTTGACGAAATGTCATTCTGAGGTCAGCGAAATAGTCGATGCCATGTTCATGTCTATATACTAAGGTGATGCCATGCAAGGTAACGTTTAAAGGTAAATATCATAATTTTGGGGGCATTTCACTCGTTTCCTGCCTCAGGGCATGTAGTCGCATTATTCACAGCTGCACCTGGTTAGGTTTTAATAAATGTACAAAATTCAAACTCGAAATTTCCCTCTACAAATCCATAAAAAGAACCACATCAATGGTGCGATGTCAACAAGATGTTCTTGCATTACTTGTTCCCAGTTGTTCACAAATCTGGAACAAGTTATTATCGCCTTGTAACAACGTTGACGAGGCCCATACACTCGCAACAAGTTGTTGCGATAAGTATGATAGCGTCTACACGTATATCGTAGAAACTTGCGACGAAAAGCCATGCAGTATAAGGGTGGATTTTCGCTTGATTTCTTTTGAATTGTGACCATCCCACTAAATCAGTTCTAAAAAGTCCCAGACTTGTCACAATAACTGGCAAGAGCTGTGTTTTTCGTATCACTCAAAAAACAGCTTACGCCCAGCCTTTTTAAATAGCGCGAATTTATAATAATTACGTCACTTAATTTCATGCACTTTGTGTCATCGTATCATGATAACAAGACAGCTAGAAAAGTGAACGGGTATTCTAGATGCAGCGTTTGTGAATCCTCATTTGTGCAACTCGGAATGGTAAATCAGCCTTACGAATAACGCTTTCATGAAAAAAGTTGCCCAAACTGTTGTACCCCCATGGCTTTATCTATTTTAAAGTTTGTTTTGCTGTGAGCCATCATGAAAATATCCCTTGAATTAGAGTAGAAATATATGGAACAAATTGCATATCGCCATAATGAGGAGAAAACCGTCGCCACATCGAAATCGTACTACCCACATTGAAATCGTACTAACAGACGAACACAAAATTTGTAATAAAAAATACTCAAATATCATACCTTTTGACACATTGTATAAAGTATCTCCATATTTTTCGGATTGGCAAGAAATACTTCTGGATCAACTGTTAAGTAATTATGAAGAGGACTGGACATATCTGCAAGTGAAATTGTTGGGAACACTTTAGTATATAATAGTATTTTGGACATTTCAGTATAATAAATTCTAGATGGGTTTCGTACATAGACTTATAGAGGGTGAATTTTATACATTTATTATAGACCTAAAGGCCATGTTACACGGTGCAATTTTTCTTGCAACTTGCAATGCAATTCTACTCTTGAGAGATGTAAAATTGCCAAGTACGAATCTTCATTACACTCCGCTGATGTTTTCTCAACATATCGAAAATTCTTCACTGATTTCACTAATTAACATCTCTCAAGAGTAGAATTGCATTGCAAGTTGCAAGAAAAATTGCACCGTGTAACATGGCCTTAACCAGGAGCAGTTGCAAAAAATGCAACTACGTATATAGGCCCTTTCGCAGGAATCGAACATGCGGCCCTGCGATTTCGGTGCAGCGCTCTAACCAACTGAGTTACACAGTCCAGTTGTCGAGCTCATGCAACCACAGGTTTATCTGACCGTGCTTTAGTGACTTAATAGGAATAAGAAAAATGGTTAAGACAAACCTGTAAAGAAATCATAGCCATCTCTTTCGAAAGCTTCATACATTAAATAAAATAGGTTCCACATTAGTGGTGATATTTTATACAGCGTTGCTGTGACCATTATAGCAAGCACGTCTTCATAAAAATCTAAAAAAATGCAATGAGAAGATGAATGAGAAAGTGAAAAAATAATGAAAATACACCTCAACTGTCGGACAATTGGTAGTTTTGTGGCTCTAACATAATGTCCTAATTTTTCATAGTTACTTGCCAAAAGTTTGAATACAAACCAAGATCTTAGCATCAGGGAATTTTTCCCATCTGAACAACAATCACTAGTTCAGCAAATGTCCTTGCCTGAGCGTTTCCTGTGGTATACTGCCTTCTGAACCATCCTGCACAAGTTGTCAATTAGCCTTTCTCATGATGACGAATATCCGCCATTTTTGGGTGGCATCAAATTCTCGTTAACCAATGCAGACAATTGCAAAAACAATGTGAAAAGCAATTTTTCAAAATAAACTAACCATTTACAAAGCAAGTTTACCATCATTCGTCCAAAAAATTATAAAAAAGTCGCTGTTATGTGCATTTATCCCACAGACTTCAGCTGAAATGCCACCCAAAAATGGCGGCGTGAGAAAGGCTACTTCGGGAGCATTTGAGTTGCTTTTTGCCGGCAACTTAAGGATTGCTACACGCTTTCTGGTTTTCAAAAGCGTCCCTTGACATTGGATAACCACAGACAACACAAATGCTAGGGTACTATTTTATAGGATCATAATGTGCCATTCGATTGCAACAAGCCTTGAAGTGCCAGTAAAAAGTCCTAAACTCAACCCAATGAAGAATCTATGGATGGATCACAAGAAAAACTAAGCAAAGGAAACTCGGAAGCAAGGACATTTGCATTTGTTGAACTAGTGATTGCTGTTCGGGAAGAATAGGAATAAATTTTTTAAAAAGCTGTTTAGATGTTGGTTTAGTCCGTGCCTTAATCGAACATGCAGAGAAGATCCCTTCAATCCCTTGGATTCAAACTTTTCGCAAGTATCTGTATATGACCACTATGAGGACCATTGACTTATGTAAACTATGCTGCATGCATGAGAACCGCTAAATTGAATAAAATTGTTTGGCGTTATAAAATATACTGGAATGAAATATAAAAGATTCACCAGATGGCAATGTTGAATTTGGTTCTGGCGTTTTGGTCTACTGACCACTCTTTTTTTAAAAAAAATCCGTAAACGTTTGGTCTAAGGTCGCGTTCATGTGCTGAAATCCTACGACTTCAAATTCTATCATAAAATCGAAAAAGGAAAATCGAAAAAAACTTGATTGAACTAATGTAATGCAAATTTTATACATTTATTAAGATCTAATCAGGAGTAGGTGCGAAAATGGAACCATACGCCCTCTGGACCCTGCGATTCCGGTGGAGCTATAGTCGCAATTTTCGCACGTGCTCTTGGATAGGTCTTATAAAGATGACAGATTACACTTACAAATTACAAATTACAGGGGACGACAAAAACATTGCAAGAGTTTCATACCAATTATTCCTTGTTTAAATACAGCTTCAATTATACTATATACTATTTTTTCCAGCTCATCACGAACCTACAAAGTTTTTAAATTGGTTAGTTCATGATACAAAATACTTGCCCAACTGTTTAGCAACAACAACAACAACAACAACAACAACAACAACAACAACAACAACAACAACAACAACAACAACAACAACGAAATATACTTACTTCCTTTGACTCGATTACGGACATCATTGTATCAAAGTTTGTTAAAATTCCCATTGCCGTGACGGCTTTATCATCTGATTCGTCAGAGTCGAGTAGATTTTTAAATGTCATGGCCTAAAGGAAATGAAATATATAATATACAATTAGGGATGCACCGCATAACTCATCCGACTGCCTATCACATCAGGTCAGATATCCGGGTCCGATAGAGAGATAATCTCATTATCCGGTATCTAATATCCGGCCGGATACCGGATATTTATGTACCCGTATCGTGTACCGGATATTACTGTCAGGCTTTTTCTCAGGTTAAAATATAGTTTTTAAGGTTAAAAAAGGAGTGTTTATCATATTCTTATAGAAATGATCGCAAAGGAGCTGGCAATATTTTCAATGATTTTCATGCTCGTTTTCTTCGTTAACAGCTTGTTCCAAACTTGTTGACAACTTGGGACAAACAGTGCGAACACAATTTGTTGACGGCTTGTTGGCAGACTTGCGTGTGTACTTTACCTAACTTTTTACACTTTTTTGCTTCAGTTTGGCTTTTTACTTTTCCCTACCTTATAAAATTGCCTTGCCTTGCTTTTCCTTGCGTTACATCACACGACTTTATCGTTTCAAGTGTGTGTATATAGTTAACAGCTTGTTCCAAACCTGTTACAACAACTAGGAACAAGCAGTGCGAACACAATTTGTCGACATCTTGTAAACAGATTTGTAACGATCTCTTCGCAGACTTGTAATAACTTGTGCGTTTTTACGTGTACAGAATGGAACATTTAAAGAAACAGAATTTTTTACATACCAAATGCTGTGCGATTATAACAGCCATTTGTCCAAGTCTCGGATCGTCTTGATATTGCTTTATAAGATCTTGCAAGGCGTCGGTCAAGTCGTCGTTTTCAGTTTGCCGAATAACACTCAACAGTTCTTGTAGAAAGGGAATAAATTCAAAATTTAGATTCATATACAACAAAATTTAATTGGTGGCATTGACTAAAGTTTTGCCGACCCGAAACAAAAGTGGGTCCTCACAATTTACGTTTTCAATAAAATTCTCCTCGACGTTTCTTCATGAAAAATTCCTGATCCTTGTGAAAGAGTTATAGCATATACATTTTCCTTAACGTAGAATTAAATAAATAAGTGGGGTGTGCTAATCATCCTTACTTGAGGCTGAGAGGTGAGCTGAATTGCGAGGAATGCATCTCAACCTGATCAAGGGGGATCTAAATGGCGGTCGTTTTTCTTGCTCTGAGAAATTTCCTTTTTTTTCTTCATGTTTATGCCTGGTTTATCATTTATTCTTGGTTTGTATGTCTGTAACTTGTATTTCTACCGTGTCTGCTACTACTTTATTCTAAAATTGGTAGATATTTTCTTGGTTTGTCTTTATGCTTGCAGTGTGTAAATTTAATTTGTGTAAATATTCAGCCATTCTGACCCTCACATTATCGTTCAAACTAAACCTGGTGAACTAGCTTTCAGGCATTTTAGCAATAACTATTTCTTAAAGCTAGTACACATTGATTAATATAAAAATTCGTATCATAAGCATGTACGAATGATTTCCAAAAGGTACAAATAAATCATTGTTGTTGTTATCAAGCCGAAGGCTTTCAGTGACATTGAAAGATAGGACACTTAGAATTTTTTTAAAACAATTGCGAAGATAACATATGTATTATGTAAACCCCCCTCCCCGATTTTAATAGGGAGCTTTAGATTTGACTACGAGTACGACTACGAGTACGAGATTTGATCGCGTGCGAGGAAATTACCGTAGTCGTTTTCGTTTCCATTCAAATGTTGCTTTTATAACAGTAAACCAACAACGAGAAAAAAAGTTTCATAAACTAAATCTCCTGCAGACTAAAATCCCCTACAAAACGTGTGAATAAGTCATAACATTAAAAACAGGCCAGATATTTAGTACTAATATATTATTTGCGCCGGATAAACGCTATATAAATGCTACAAATTATTTTTGGAAAACAAAAAAAAGCCAACAATCTTTGTTTTCTTTGAAAAGTCGTCGTAAGGACTACGAGATTTCTCCACAATTTCGTACTCAGATGGGCGACGGCTACGACTTTTTCGCGTCAGTACGCGATGGCGTAAGCATACAGCATTCGTTTAGCTTGACGAATCTCGTACTCGTACTCGTAGTCAAATCTAAAGCTCCTTAATGTTGCTGTGCATGCTGGAAGAGTTATTACAACACAAAAGTACAAATAAAATGTCAATTTTAGTCTATACCAACATTGAACAGGGGGAGGGGGATTATGTTAGCTACAAACTCAGCCTAGCTGTATTTTGTCACCGATTGTATAGGTAAGGGCGGCTCTGGCAGCCACCTGATGTCAGACCAAGGAAAACAGCTATGGTGGAGGGTCAGTTAGGAGCTAATCCCAACCCACCATGTTAATATTCCCTGTGAAAAGAAACTGGACTACCCAAAGAAAACCCAGGACTATTATTGGTAGAGCGTTGGCCAACTATTTCCATGTCATAAGTCTTCAGCGAGAATCAAAGCCACGATATCAGAGTTCAAAGGCACTTGCTCTAATCAATTCATATCAGAGAACAGCTTTGATTTCACATCCGAACAGCCTTGATTTCACATCCGAACAGCCTTGCATGTTTTCACATTAGAACAGCCTTGCATGTTTTCACATTAGAACATGCTTGATTTCACATCTGAACAGCCTTGCATGATTTCACATCAGAACAGCCTTGATTTCACATCAGAACAGCCTTGATTTCACATCAGAACAACCTTGCATGTTTTCACATCAGAACATGCTTGATTTCACATCAGAACATGCTTGATTTCACATCTGAACAGCCTTGCATGATTTCACATCAGAACAGCCTTGATTTCACATCAGAACAACCTTGCATGTTTTCACATCAGAACATGCTTGATTTCACATCAGAACATGCTTGATTTCACATCTGAACAGCCTTGCATGATTTCACATCCGAACAGCCTTGATTTCACATCAGAACAGCCTTGCATGTTTTCACATTAGAACATACTTGATTTCACATCTGAACAGCCTTGCATGATTTTACATCAGAACAGCCTTGATTTCACATCAGAACATGCCTTGCATGATTTCACATCAGAACAGCCTTGATTTCACATCAGAACAACCTTGCATGTTTTCACATCAGAACATGCTTGATTTCACATCAGAACATGCTTGATTTCACATCTGAACAGCCTTGCATGATTTCACATCCGAACAGCCTTGATTTCACATCAGAACAGCCTTGCATGTTTTCACATTAGAACATACTTGATTTCACATCTGAACAGCCTTGCATGATTTCACATCAGAACAGCCTTGATTTCACATCAGAACATGCTTGCATGATTTCACATCAGAACAGCCTTGATTTCACATCAGAACAACCTTGCATGTTTTCACATCAGAACATGCTTGATTTCACATCAGAACATGCTTGATTTCACATCTGAACAGCCTTGCATGATTTCACATCAGAACAGCCTTGATTTCACATCAGGACATGCTTGCATGATTTCACATCAGAACAGCCTTGATTTCACATCTAAACAACCTTGCATGTTTTCACATCAGAACATGCTTGATTTCACATCAGAACATGTTTGATTTCACATCAGAACATGCTTGATTTCACATCAGAACATGCTTGATTTCACATCAGAACATGCTTGATTTCACATCAGAACATGCTTGATTTCACATCAGAACAGTACAATTGCAGGTCGGCGATTCTTTGCCCACCTGACAAGGCTGACATGATTACAGGTCAGCAGTCGTGTCGACCGATTGCCGACCCGAATTCCGACGCATGTGATGCATGTCTAGATTGTACTATATGAAACAATACTATCACTATACTCAGAGTTTCGTACGTTTCCTGCATAAAACTTACCTTGAATAACAGCTTGCATATACGGTTCGATATAATCTTTGGCTGAAATGTAAGAAATTCCAGAAAAATTTAAAATAACTTAATCCAAATAAAGAGGCTGAAGGCAATGTTGTATGCGAGCAATAAAAATGCCTTGTACATAAAAAATATTTGAAAGCCTGTTAATTGTTGTTGTCGTTGCTGTCATTAGGGAGCTTTAGCAGCGAGTACGACTACGAGTACAAGATTTGATCGTGTGCGAGAAAATTTAAAATAACTTAATCCAAATGTTGCTTTTATAGTAGTAAACAAACAACGAAAGAAACGTTTCTATAAACTAAATCTCCTGCAGGCTAAAATCCACTACAAAATGTGCAAATAAGTCATAACATTAAAGACAAGCCAGATATTTAGTACTAATATAGACTATTTTCCCCGGATAAACGCTACAAATTATTTTTGATAAACAAAAAAACCCCCAACTTTCTTTGTTTTTTGAAAAGTCGTCGTGAGGACTACGGTATTTCTCCACAATTTCGTTCTCAGATTGGCGACGGCTACGACTTTTTCGCGTTAGTATGGGATGGCCGTAAGCATGCGTTTCGCTTGACGAATCTCGTCCTCGTAGTCGCTGCTAACGCTCCCTACTGTCGTTGTGCATGTCATTGTTGCTGTCATTGTTGTTGTTGTTGTTGCTGTCATTGTTGTTGTTGTCGTTGTCGTTGTCGTTGTTGTTGCTGTCATCGTTGCTGTCGTTGTTGTTGCTGTCATCGTTGCTGTTGTTGCTGTTGTTGTTGCTGTTGCCGTTGCTGTCATCGTTGCCGTTGTTGTTGCCGTCGTTGTTGTTGCCGTCGTTGTTGTTGCCGTCGTTGTTGTTGCCGTCGTTGTTGTTGCCGTCGTTGTTGTTGCCGTCGTTGTTGCTGTCATTGTTGCTGTCATTGTTGTTGTTGTTGTTGCTGTCATTGTTGCTGTCATTGTTGTTGTTGTTGTTGCTGTCATTGTTGCTGTCATTGTTGCTGTCATTGTTGTTGTTGTTGTTGTTGCTGTCATTGTTGCTGTCATTGTTGTTGTTGTTGTTGCTGTCA